GTCTAGTTTATAATCACAGCACAATGAAATACCCTGAACATAAATAGCAAGAAATCAATTTTCTTTAGAAAAAGTAAAATAAAGAACATTAAATGATCATTTGACTAGATAACTGCAGTTTACTCAGTGGTGTAACTGTCAGCTTGCCTGTGCACAATAAAGGAATTAATGCAGACGGGGTATGGTTTAGATGTCTCCTTCTTTACAGTGACAATAACTCCCTTGTTTTCTCTAGTGAGTAGATGTTTATATTCTAATTTTGTCTCTGCAGGCTACACAGAGCCTTAAACTTGCAAAAGGGATTTGTGAGCAGCTTGCTTGTCAAGAACAAATACTAGTCAAAAGAAATGCATGACTTATTGACCTCGAGTTCACTGAACCTTCATCTTGATGCTTCCGCACCACTAAGGAATTGGCTTCTCTGAAAATTAAAGTTCCCAGATTAGAATAGAAACTTCAACAAAGGAGATATACGATTTTACAAATACACATCATTAGAGGACTTTAAAAGAGCTTGGTTAGAACAATGGGATTATGAAAATCAAATATTTGACAGGCAAGAAACCAACTGAGGTCAAAGCTGATGAAAAACAGACTTTTGAAAATATGGAATTTACCATTTGCATTTTCGCTAATAATATTAACTCTTTGTCCTTACCTGCTATATTATTCATTTGGAGATGCAGTGACAGTACATACTTGTCATATCGTCAAGATGATATTATGCTGTGCAAAGAGAGGCAAAAAGATGATTTCCACAAAGACCTCAGTTCCAGCGTGCATGCATGGTAAGCTATTTATTTTGCAGGATCTAGATCATATTGCATTGTTGCATCTTCAAAGTTTTAATATTTTTTAAAAGAAATTTTCAAGACAATTTCAGCTTGATATTCTTCTAATATCTGTGCTTAATAAGTAAGCAGCCATAATATCCTGTTGCTTAAACATCTATCCCTACACCCAAAGATTTTCATACAGTGTTAGGGCTAGGTAGACCTTTAACTAATAGTTTTAACTTGTTTCTAAAACTTGTTGAAGCTTTGGAGCTGCGCCTTCTTCCAAAACACAAATACAAGAATTAATGCTAAGATGTGAGATACGTGACAGAGATTCTTATATAGAACTGTGGAATAGAAATGCATTCTCCTACTATGGAACAATGCGTTTGTGCACATATATGTGGATGTGATATGGATGTAAATGTAGGCACTTCTATTACGTGTCTACATAGCCACAAAACCAGATAAAATTTTATTCAAAGCTAAAAAATATATATATATATACACACACAAAATGGGTATGCTTTTCACATTCTTGGTAAACATCTATGGGGATAGAAGTTACTTTTTTTTTTTCATCCAGTTTACTACATTGGTTCCAAGTTTATAACACCTATGTTTTACCTATTTAATTACAAATATTTTTATATAAAGAGAAAACTTGGAAAACAGAAAACTTATTTTACTTACTTCTAATCTGCAAAGTTCACTTTGACAGTATGTCATAATTCCTTCTGGGTGCCAGTCAAAACAAAGACTGCACTATACGCAAGCAGTTCTCGTTTGGATGGTTTTGGAATTTTGAAATGTGGAATAAAATCCAAGATGGATATTATTTCCCTTTCTGTAGTTGAATAAGGATAAGGCTGAAACTGGGAAGAATCTTTAAGCTTAAAGTAATGGGGGATTCTATCTCTTTAACATGGAGACATTTACAATGACTGTATCGTGGACAGTTTATAAGCAAAAGTAGGGTAAAAAACATTTAAACTTTCAGTCAACTTTTGCTGAAAGACGATTCTTTAGATGTCAACAATGATACTTGAAGGAAAATATTTCTTTAGACTTCTGAAATTGCCAGAGTTGGAGTACATTTTAGGTGCGTATTTATTTAAATATTTATTTTTCTACTTTTTCTACTTTAGATCAAGTAATATGGTATTATGTGTCAGCTAAAAGGTGCTTGTTTTAATGGTATCAGTGAATTTTGTCACTTAAAGTATAGTCATTGCACTGTTATGCATTCATTGATGTTTATCCGGCTAGGAGAAGGCTTAAAATTGTCTTTTGAAGCTTGGATGGATGGACAAATTTAAGACCATTTAAGATACCACTTGTTCTAGGTTCAGATTCACTGAAGTGGCTGACAGAGTTGTCTTTATTTCTATTTCTGCTGGAGAATTAGTTAGCTGAGCTCAAGAGAACACGCAGATTTAAACACATGCTTCAGGCTTTTGAATTGGCGTGTCAATTAGGTGTGGAATAATGTGTGGAGCTGCAAACTCAGAGACCAGCCTGTTGCTGACTGCTATATAACACAAGCACTGCAGTACTGGGTCAGTATGCTGTCTCCAGCAGTGACAGGAGTGCATTTTTGAGGAGCAAATAGAAGATCAAAGCCTTTATATAGCAGTCCTTCCCTGTTGCATTATTCCAGCTTTCCTCAACCAGAAGTTGAAGTGCTTCCTCAGCTGAAAGCTATATCTCCTACCTAGAAAGCAAGTCACTTCATTTGTCCTCTCTTATATGTAAAATGGGGATAACTTTTCATTTTCTAAATTGTTTTTAGATTTGTGGATAAAAGGGCTGGATAGTTAATATTGCTTTTAGCTTTCCTTTTAGTGAATCTATTTTAGATAATGCTGAAACAAAACTGTCTTACTTGCTCTTGAGTTCAGAAATTGCTGAGTACTTTTTTTTTTTTAACCTATAAAACTATATGCCTTGGCCTATCTAATAATCTGAACTAGGATTATCTACTGTCTCAAGTAGAAGACTAGAAGAAAAATAATGAAAAGCCTTAGATGCTCAGTGAAGTTTCCAGCAACATCCTGAAGAGCCTTGAAAGAGTTAATCATATTCTTGCAGCACTGCTTGCCATCAAACCACTATTTGTCATGCATTAATGAAGGGACTACACCCACTGTAGAAGTGGTAAACAGGGGAGAGCATCAGCATGCACAGTGCTTCCCCAGTGACCACACAGCCATTGTTGGAGGCAGAGCTGCTCAGGTTGCTTTGTAATGCAGATTCCTCTAGCTGGAGGTTGAAAGTATAGCAAAAGTGATGCAAGTGCAAGTTTATTTAATAATGCAAGGGGGGGCCCCATCCCAGGAGCTGTGAAAAATATCAGCACAGAAGCAAGTGTTCTCTTCGACCATTTTCCTTTAGGACCATTGTCAGCCCCAGAAATTTTTTTTTCCCAGAGAGCTGTAGATCAGATGTTGAGTGTAAAACAGCTCTATTTTAAAGAAAATGGAGTGTCCAGTTGAATGAAAGTGGGCACAGCCGAGACTGCCTGTGGTACCCAGGTGCTGCAAAGGCAGGCTGTCTGTTAAGTTTCTAACCAGACAGGGGTGAAGAGAGGTCAAGAGGAATCTTACTGTTCCCAGTATCTGTCAGTAAGTAATCATGCAGATAAAAATCACACCACTCCCTCAGCTTGACAAAAAAATTTCTTTCTCTATCTATATATCCATATAACATTACAATACAAGCCTCAGGGCATCTCTTGTCCTTATCTAAACAAAAGTCTTCTCTGAAAACCTTAGTCATGCAAGTTATGGCATGAAATCACCCTTTCAGCAGAAAAATGGTAATTTTGCATCTGGAGTCAAAGGAGGACTGGCTTAGCGTACAAAGCTATTATGTTTCTCAGATCCAATCATCCTTAGTAATTTGGGAGCAACTCACAGATCAGTCTATAGGTTTTTTTTTCAGCGCAGGTATAAATGTCACTGAAGCTGTACCTGGATTTATCTTTGGATCCTGCTGGCACATAGATTTTACATGTTGTTATCCACCTTCTCCTAGGAAGGCATAAGGAAAATGTCAGGGGGGGGAAAAAAAACTAGATGGGCAAGACCTGAAATAAGTGTAAGCCTACAGTGCTAGGTCATTGTACTGTGATTAAAATGAGGACAGAAGGGGTATTCTGGAGAAAAGCAGGAGGTTAGAGCAGAGGAACATGATATCAGTGCAGTTTTTGTGAAAGAACTTCCAGTTGTCATAGAAATGCAAAAATTGTGTTGCATGTGACTGACAATTGTCACCTTTTGTTTTCCAGATTTGGCACAGAGGAACAGTTTTATCTTCACTCTGTGCAGCATTCAGTAACTGTCCTGGTCTGTGATCCCAGTGGGCTGTTGACCAACACACAGTATTCTTGCAATCCAATAAGTTACTTTACTACTTTTTTTTTTTTTAAAAGCATTTTTTTCAGTTCTAAAAAAATGATATGGATGAAAGTTGCACCTCTGTATGGGGTGACCCCAAGTAATTATAATGAGGAGAAATTGGTGGTGATGGTGGTGAGGGGCATTGTCTCTCCTCTTGATTATTACCTGCTTACCCTTCTGCAGAGGACGCAGGCTGATTTGGAGAAACCTTGTACCATTCCCAAGGGTGTCTGGAAAGGTCAGGTAGTGTCAAACACAAGCAAAGTGCCATTAACTGACCTCCAGCATGTGATGCCCATGAGCAGCACTTTACTGATGGGGGGGGGGGGCTGTGTGTGGGTACGAGGGTCTTTTCATGTCTTCCTCGCAAATGACATTGCAAGCTAGAGGAAGAGGAGGACACCCTGTGCCCTTTTAGGGAAGTATCTGCACAATTCTAGGCAGGCTGTGGACAATTCAGATAGGTGAGCAGACATAGCTATCTCCTGGGAAACAAATCTTTTTGTGAGAATCTCTATTTTCCTGAAGGAGAAAACCTCTTTCAGGAAACCTGTGGGTTCCTAAGTTTGTGCGGCATTAGCTTGCACAGTTCACATTGAAAAGGATATTAAAGCAGTCTTTAAAAATAATTACAAATAATATTCCTTTTTCTTTTTCTGCATTAATAATACTTTGTTTGTCATTCATTCAGGCACAATGCAGCACTGAACCAAGTCTTCCTTTAAATAATCCTGCTTCCAGCTGGTTACATTGTTCACCCAAATCTGTGTGTGAGTGGCAGTCGAAGGCTTGATTTCCCCTTCCTGATGTAATTTAAATACGAAGCCTCTGTGTGTTCATCTTGCCAGCAGTCCTCTCCCACATCCTGGTGGCCTGGGGCAGCGGGGCGCAGGGCAGAGCCTGCCGGGGCCCCTTCTCTTGGGGCGCCTTCCTCCGAGGCAGCCTTGTGCCAGAGGCTGTGCCCCAGGGCTCGCTCAGAGGGGGAGAGTTGGGCACAAAGGCAGTCCTGCTGGCTAGAAAAGAGAAGGAAAACTGTGCAATTTAAGGGGTGCCCACTGTTATTGTGTGTAAAAGCTTTTTTTTTGTTTTTTTTTTTTGTTTTTTGGAATTTTTTCCTTTGCCTGATACTATTCTGCAGTGTGCATTATTCCAGGGAAGGGAAGAGATCCGATAGTACAGCCTGCCTCACTGCTCCAGACGGTAACTGGTAAGCTTTGATTTCTTTCTTTAATTAAAGCATCTCAGGGCAAAACTCCAAGAAGATCTTTAAAATACTGCTGATTATTAAGGAGAATTGCACTCTCTGCTTGCAATGTTATTTTCTGACGTTACTTCTGCCTAGCCGTTTGCCTTCTTGGAGAGGTAAAAAGCAAGCTTTCATGGTTCCCCTCTTTTCTCTTGGGGTTTTATACAATGTTATGTTTGTCTCTGCTCTGGTTTTACACGTTTATATTCCCTCTTGCTGTGGAGATCTGGTCTCACCCCCTACTTAGACAATCCCCATGCATGAGGGCTTTGAAAGTGCTGTTAATACTTCTCACTTCAATGTTTATGATGCTGGGCAGTGGTGCATTCAGATTATCACAGCACGGGTAAAATAATACCCACTTCTTCACTTACATCCTATTACTGCACCTCAGAGAGCCCCGTCACTTAGATTACTCAGGGGAGAGTCAATGACATAGTCTTTTGGTTTGAAATAAAAACTGTTGCAGAGAGATTTAAAAGATATCCGAATTTATAGTAGTTTGTTGGTATTTTTTTGATTGCAATGTTTTATTAGATCATGATTTTTCCAACTACCTGCTATTCCTAAACCAACCGAATGGTCATAATTTGCTTCTGTTAAATGCTGGGCTGCCTGGGGAACAAAAAACAAGGGAGCTGCATTCCTGATGGGAATATTAAAGGAAAAGAGGGAAACTCACTGTGATCTCCCAACAATAGGGTAATCCGAGAGCCACACACAGTTTTACCAGAATTCCTCTAGCTTGCATATTTGTTGCACATAAATGTAAATATGTGCCTATCTGGACATGTGTGTATGTGTATATTAAACAACAGCAGTTAATTATATATAGTTTACGAGCAGAGTTTCTAGCCTTTCCCTGAAGAGAGAAGCCTGTCAGAACTACTGTCTTGCTTTTTTCAAAAAAGAACAAGATCTGGAGCATGAACAGGAGCAGTGACAAGATTCTGGGACCTGTTTGATTCCCCCACCCCGCAATGCTGAGATATTTCTGTTTTCAGCTGTCACTCACAGTGTGTTCTCAGTTCTCCTTCTCCCCCAGTCCTAGTTACAGCCAGTGCTAGAAACATTTCTTGATTCTTTCCTAGCAGTTGAAGCAAACCCTGCTGCATTTTTAGCTTCCTTCTGCAGGACAGATTTACTCACTGTGGTTACTTTGTGGTTGCCACATGTCAGTTATATTAAAGGCACTGCTCCCTAATCTAATGAAACAGAAATCCATGAGGAGTATAAAAAAATTCTATTTTCTCCTCTTTTCAAGAAAATTTCCTATGCCCCCCTCTCCCCTTCCATAATTTCATTAATATGGTCAGTCTTTAGTAAGGGAGCTTTCAAAAAGTGTATGTTAGGCTAGGTTGTTAAAATGTATCCACCTTGTTTGGATTTCAGCAGTTGCAATAACCAGCAGCACAAAGGTGATATTCCTGTTTGAAGAAGAATGATAGGTATTTATCTATGAAGAAAGAGTCTGTATCTGGTGTTGTCAGTTGTTTGATGGCATTGCAAAAAGCACATTGCAAGTCAATAAAAGTTTCACCTGAGTAAAGAAGATTGAAATCCTTACAAAAAAGTGCTCTACTAAGGGTGCTGATGCTAATACTATTAAATACACAGCCAGAGATACTGAGATCTGCTTTCTCATTTGTATCTGCAGAATAAACTATAATCTGATTTGGGATTTGGAAAAGGTATTCAAGACAATTTCTAAGTGCAGTAAAACATTAATCCTCACAATGTGTCTGAAAAACAGTAAACGTTTAGACAGTTACTTCAGCCACAAAACAAGCAGTTTTGTATCTCAGCCTAATAGAAGACTAAAAGGTCTCTATTCTGCTTTTGGATTTATAAGCTTTGTGTAATGTCATAATCTAGATATGGAAGTATATAGGAAATTTAAGAGTACACAAGATGGGAAACGAATTGGTTTTTTGCTTATAATTTTACAAGTGGATGGAAAGATCTCCAATTGCTTGTCTAGGAGTGTTGAAATCACTGTGAAAGCCAGGAACAGAAGTTGGGAGTGCTGACTCCCTTGAACTGCTCTAACTCCCCATAGCTAATTCACTCTGTCTTGAGTCAGATCATTTTATATATGGACTTCAGTATAACATTTAGTCAGAGACGACAGCAACATAACTAACTTCATGACTCATCTACTTAATCCTGATCCAGACAGAGGGCTCTTCCTTTTGCTTTATTAGTCAGTCTGTTAGCTCCATTGTTTTGCTGCTAGAAATGTTGGTGGTTGTTGTTGGAGGGTTGCCCCCTCCCCCCAAATATAAATAAGGTTCTTTTTTCCTTTTCTGCACTTTCAGCTCTTGTGGCAGTGACTTTTTCAGCCATTGCAAGGATTTTCTATCTCTGGTTTGTGCCACTCAAGCAAATTACTTCCAGCTCTAAGAGGAAAGCTGTCTATGAGGTTTCCCATGAGGAAGCTGATCTAATCCATTTTAGCTGGTAAAAGATTTCTGTGAACTTTGATATGTGCTGGACTATACCTTACAAGTAATGCATGATCTGTCATTTTTATACCAGAGCAATAATAATTTAGTGAGGATGATATCTGGAGGTCTATAGGACTGTGACCTAAGAGAACCTCTCCTACTTGCTGCTAGGACTGTGTGAAATTTCTATAATGAAATTCTAAACCTTGTGAGCTATTCCAGGCTTTGCTGCCAGTCTGAAACCTGAGTTGGGTTTACAGAGGTCCATGAAACTTTCAAGAGAACCATGGCTAGTTTTTTGTTTCAGCTGCATTTTGCAGTGATGCCATAGGTTCATTTAGATGCAGAATATGTGGCAATGAGCTCCTTTCCTTCCATGTGAATGTTAATTTAGTACATTTTGTTTAGCTGCGATGGCAACATAGTTTTTGGAAACGTTCTGCGTGCATTAGTCATCAATATCTGAGCGATGTTTCTATTGTGCTCATCTGCCAATGGTCCTAAAAAGCATCAGCAATTCATCTATTCCAGCTGGGACAAGAAAGACTGACAAACTGCAGTGCTGCATTAAAAAGCAACTAAAAATGGAATCATATAGGGCATATTTATTGTATTTCTGTGACTGCAGCAGTTATTCACTGATTTTCTAGCACACTGCAGTATTCGGGATTACCATTGTGGGCTGTCCTATTTCATCCCACAGGATGACTCAGTCAGAAGCGCTACTCTTCTGAAGCCTCTGTGGAGGATCAGGCTCTTTGATAGTTGTACTGATGAGGGGGCATGAGCTATATTAGCATCCAGCTACCTGATGTAGTGCTAGTTTAGCTTTGACAACCTAGCACTAGGATGACAATCCTAAACCAGACTGTAGAGTTAGTGCATATAACACTGAATACTTATAGGGTTACGACTGACCAAATGAGGAATGTGTCAGGATGAAGGCTGAACTGATGATTAAGGTCAGAAAGATTGGGGTTTGACATCAGCTGTGAGATCTTTGTTTGACCTTGTGTTCAAGGTCATACCAGAGCTTTGGTTTCCATCTGCAGGGTGAGTATTTCTACATCTTTCTTTTGCTATGTAAAGGATGAGTGAGCATGAGTCTTCAATCAGTGAAACAGTAGAGGAGTCTCAAAAAAGTACCTTTAGCTGAATAAGACTAGTCTTTGTAGCTTCTCTCTGTATCTAACAGACTTTTCCAGAGACAAGTCAGAGCTGCTAAATGACAATTCCTACTGTGAATTGTCTTGGCTAAAGTTAGTCTTCGTAAATCTCCCTTTTTCTATCTATTTATATTGAGTGCCCTTCCCACCAGGACTTTGAATGCTATTGCATTTTTGCTATCTGTTTTCAAGACAGTCATTTCAGAGAGAGGCAACTCTTCTCTACTGCAGGCTGTGCCCCAAGTGGTGCTCCTACACTGATGCCTGTACTGCTGAGCACCTGCTCTCAGCTTAGTTGAGTTATCTGTAATTTGTCAAGAGATAAACAAGGAATAAGAAAATTCTGCAGAGCAATGATCCCCTGCATCTCTTCCTGGATGGAATTGGCATAGCTAGTTGCTCCATCATATGTTTATGAGGAGATGGATTGAGACTGGAAGGTTTTTAAGGTCAGCACCACGTATTCAAGCAAGAATAGAAGGTCTGACCTTTTTCAGATGGTAAGCTTTGTCAGTGTTCCCATTGGGATTTTTCCCCAGGTGACTGCTTAAATGTCACTTCTGGTAAACCAGGGGAGTGGAACCATGAGAAACTTCCTTTTTTTTTTCTGTCATGGGGCAGCATGGAGAGCTTCTAATGAGGTTATACATTTTCCTAAAGTTGAAAATATGTAGTATTAGTATATAGAGTAGGGAGTATACATATATTTTTCATATCATGTCTGTTTTGTAAAAGCCATATTTTTTGATGATGTGTGCTTCTTTAGTAATGCAAAAAAAACCCCTCTGAAACAATCAAACAAAAAAATCCTTCATAGCTACAATTAACACTCTAGCAATACCTCAGTGGCATGCATTCCTTGTGTTTATTGATTAGCGAACAAGCCCCCCAGGGTTTACATTGCTTCCAACACATTTGGTTCCAGCTGAATACCTGCAGTGTGCATTGATCTAAGCGTGTGATTTCTCCTAAATATCAGCCATCCTGTCCTATTGCATCACAGCTGTATATGTGTTCTTGTAGCTGTGCAAAACCAAGTGGCTGAAAATGAAAAATCACCATGTGAAAAATGAAAGGGCACCTGTTCCAGTCTCTGTTGACATCCATGAGCCCTCTCTGTCACATTGAGGTTACACCTGCATAATTCACTTGGCTTCAGTAGAGCGACTCCTTATTTATATTTGCGTGTGTGAGAAGAAACTCAAGTCCCTCAGGGGCTATGGCAGCTTACTGCTTCAGAGAATCAGGTCCCTACTGCAGAAGAGGACCAGATATCAAAGTTCGAAGTGAATGGATGCTTATTTCTTTACAGTGTCTGTTTTCTTTGTGAACATGAGCTACAGATCATTGCACAGGTGTTTCCAGTATAGGTGTGGCTGCAGTAGATACTGCTTATTCTTTTGAAGGAACCTGTACTTACAAAACATAACAGGACATAAAAGCAGATGAACATTCTGCCTGAAGGGACCCAATGTGACCAGCAGAGGTTCAGAGGATAAGAACAGTGGGATGAGTTGGTTGGCAAGACAAGTTTTTCAGTATGCGTTGTGCTTGGTGCGTTATTGGAAGGTGTAAGTCTCTGCTCAAAGCACTCTGCCTTCTCAGTAAAGTAGCTGGGCAAACACTTAACGTTGATGTCAAAGGGACAGTTCAAGTGGTTGAGACATAGACAAAGGGGTGATGGATGCAAAGGAGAAGGAAGGCTATGGAAATAGTGTTGTTAGTGCTGTAGAAGTAATGAGTTGGCTTTGTTCCGGCTCATCAGCCTCTAATCTATTTTAAAGTTGATATTAAAGTATGAAATAGTATGTGACATTGAGGATGAAGCGATTGAGCTAAGTTTTCAAACCAGTGTTAGGATGCAGGCTAATTCTATATTTTGATTCATAGTTGTATGGTAGAAAGGCATAGTCTGCGTGTTGAGAAGAGTGAGAAGACGTTGATGAAGAAATTAGAGACAATTATTAAATCAGTAATGGGGAATTTCCTCTTTCAGCTGCATGTTATGTTGATCCTAACCAAGCACAAAGATATCCTGCAAATAGTGTTGCCTTTTCTCTCATGCTTGCATCTGCCAGGGCCTCACTCAAAACTTACCGGAAGGGATCCTGTTGTGAGGACTCAGGCTATATTGCTCATGGACTCCAAATGGACCAGCTCCTCTTAATTGCAGGGCTACTCTGTCAGTGCTTTGATACCTGTGCTCCCCTTGCTATTGACAAACAGGGATGAGCTATTGAACTCTCATGTTCTCTCGCAACCCTACTTTCTATATCTTAAGAAACAGTGTCCCTCTCTCTGTACTCTGAGGGACATGGTTTTTAATGAACCTACTGCAGCACTGGTGGTGAAGAAGGCTGCAACAGGACTGTAGACAAGGGTCTGAGGCTGTGTAAGTGTTGCTAAAAGACAGGGCTGAGAATCTGGTAACAAGAGGCTTGGATGCAGAAAGCGAGGAGGGTTTCACCATGAGCTCGGTCAGCACTGCTCACCCAGAGCAATCACAGCTGTTGCTTTGGATTGTGGAGTAAGAAGCCATCTCAAAGGTTCCTTAGGCCCTAGCCTATAAAGGGCTTTAAAAACTAGGGTCAGGACCTTGAAACAGATCTGCGTTCTGTGAGGGAGCAGAGTATGCGTGCTGTGTAGCAAGGGGAGTGGTTTTGGTGCAGCTCCAAGTGGATCAGTGCCAGCAGTACAAAATCACCTGGAATTAATTGAAAGCACTAGTGGCCATTTTCAGCTGAGAGGCAAAAGCAGGTGGAGAGACTGGGAAAAACTTGCCCTCATCCTCTGGTTATGCTGGTGGAGGCATGTGTGGGAGGTTTGTGCTGATGCTTCCCACACTATATGTGCTTTGTGAACTTTCATTTCCAAGGCTATCAGGACAAAGTCTTTCATTGCAATTACAGACAGGTTTTATTTACTTGTAACAGAGTTGCATGCATTTATTTTCACTCTAGCCTAGCAAACTGCTGCTTAGAACCAACAACACAGTTTTGTGCATCCAAATGCTGCTATTTTACTTTCTTACTTATTTCTCTGTATCTTTGCATAGGTCCTTGGCATTGCAGAGTAAACGTGTGGGATACAGGACTCTACTCAGCTTGGAACCCTTGGAACTGCAGCCCAACAGAAAACTCCCATCTCAGATTTGGCCAGGATGACTTCAAGGTGAATTCCAAATGTTATTAGAAAGATTTATCAGTTTATGTCCTGCAATGTGGAGTTGAACAATGTCCTTTATGTTTTCTTGCTATTTTTTGACTTAGGAATATGAAAGAATATTTAGCAGAAAGAATGTTTGTTCACAGCTGGTGACTTTTGGTCCCTTTCTTAAGGAAGGCCTCAGTGTACTTTGCTGATGAGGTCATTGATGTGTTACCACATGAACCAAGTTAGGATGTTCTGGCTATTTATAAATGCAGCTAACAAGAATTATCTAGATGTCCTGCACCTCATTTGAGAAGTACAAATAAATAAAAGGTATGAGTAATAAGATTAGTGCGCTCCAGCTTTTTTTTTTTTTTTTAATTGCCTCAGAATCATGGAGGTGATTCTTTTTCCATGAAAAGTTCTTGGGGGATGGTTAGGGTCTTTCTGTCCTGAAAGGAGGATCACAACTGGAAACCAGCTGGGACTGTAGCTGCAATTTTGAGAAGCATGAGGTGGAGAAAGGACCCTTTTGTCAGTGCATAAGAGGAATCTCCTTGTGGTTTGATGCATTAGAAAAAAATTTAAGAATGAAGAAAGACCTGTGCTAAGTAGTGACTCATATTGTGTCATCTGCCTCTGTAACAGGGAGTGATTTGGCAAAACAGGGTTTATCGTGCAAGTGATAGATGAAGGAAACCTCTTGCCTCTAGTCCTCAAACAGAGGACTGATTGCAGATGGGTATGGACAACCTATTCTGCCCAAGCTTTTTAAGTTCTTTGGCCTGCTCTATCCTCCCAGCATTTCTGTTGGCTTTCCTCAGGCCACGTTGGTCCTACAGGAGAACTTTGATTCATCCTTTCTCTGTGAAACTGGGCCTTTCATCTCTCTTCTCCACCTTCTGCAGTTCTCACAAAACTCCCACGAGCATCACTGAGCTTCTGGACCAGGCTCTAGAGAGATCTCGGCCCCCTGAGTTTTTCCACAGAGGAGTGTTGATACTCCTGTTCCAGTTAGTGCGGATTCTTCCATGTGCAGTAGGGTGATGCCCAGATGAATACTGGGATTGCAGCTTACACATATACATATATAGCTGCTGGACCAGTAATTCTTTTATCTCCTTTCTCAGCTTACAAGATATAGCTCTAAATTTAATCTCAGAAAACAAGGTTCCAGGTCCAAGAAGCAGTGTAATGCTTTGGAATTGATTTTTTTTTTCCCCCCCCCCCCTTCTTCCCTGTTTTGTGTTGTTCCACCAAGGTGTGCGGTTTTTCTCTGCTCCACAGAGGAGTTAGGGGCTACGTTCTTCAAGGGGAAATTCCAGTCTGGGGTGATGCAAATGAAAACATCCTGTGTGTCCTTTTTCATTCAAATTACACACAAAAAATTAGTGATGTGAGACATGAGCAAAGGCAGAACAGAGCCTAGAGTCTTTAATCTTTAAAATCTATTTTACATGATTAAAAAGATCCTGCCTGAAGAAAAGCAAGCCTGGCTATTTATATCTCCATTCTCTGTACCCCTTTCCCACTCCCCCCCCCACCCTGAAAATATTGCAGTCTTTCTCATCTGAAAGACCACAGCTAGCTGCCATTAATTTTAATGCTAAATTCTCATCAGCATTTCAAAACATCATGAAAATGTCTAAGAAACTGTCTTCTAGTAGCTTGAAAATATCACAGGCAGCAACCTAAATAATACTCTAAGTGCCCTGGTAAGTACAGGAACACATGCTGGAAAGAAAAAGAGAAAAATAAAAGGCTGTAGACCACCAGGCAAACGTCAGTTCTACAAAGCAGGCATAAATGGATTGCAGGATTTTATGGATGCTGAGAGTTTGAATTACTGACTGAGCTACACCTCACTTAAAAAAGAAAACCACATTTTGTGTAAGAGAATGCATCATATATTGAATACTTCTGTTTGCTGTGCAATCTGCTGCATGGACAACTACATAAATAACATTACATGTAGGGTTCTGTTTTGCAGACAAATGCAATTAAATGAATGGAATATGGCCAGGACCCTGATATTAGTGCCCTATTACATTGCACTGTCAAAGGTGATGGATGTCAAATAAACTGAAATCAATGGTCGTTGGTCAAACAAAAGATGACTCTGATCAAAGCAATCCCACCTCAGTAAAGCATTAAACTTGTCCTAAACTTTAGATACGTGTTTGTAATGGTCCTGCTGTTTTTTTTTGTAGGGAAGGGCTGAAACATGCATTTCCTTCAGGTTCGTGTTTTTAATTGGGAATATCCATGCTTACCTAGCTCCGTGGATGGGAATCACCAAGGCAGCTATGCATATGCCAAATCTTGCTGGGGTTTTGGGACATGCCATTGCTGTCTTGTGCTCTCATTTATAGTGCCTCTGTGGGCCTGGGGATCAAAAGCTCATATTATTTCTGCTTTCGTTGATGATGATGCTTTCACTGAAGCTCTACCCTTCAGCAGGGTGGCAGTGGGGGACTAAAGGAGGGTCCTTCTTCCTGGCTAGTAAGTGGGATGCTGCCAGTGGAGGCTGATTATCCACATCATTCATTTTGTGCTGGTGATTTTTATTTTGACTTTGCAAATGTTTTATAGTGCCAAGTCGTTCTGCTTTTGTAAGAGTTAAAGTAAACTTTTCACTTTCTCTTTTCTCTTTTTCTTTTTAAAAGTGATATTTGCAAACCTAAAGCAGTTTGATAATTAAACAAAAGCAGAAAAGCCTCGTTTTTTTTCAAGGAAAAATACTTAATTTTTTGCCGGTTCATATGGGAACTGAGACAAGAATTCTCTCAAAGCAAATGGAGTAAAAATCACAGCTTTGTTGAGAAAGCCCAAGGTTTGGGGAAAAATGTACAGAGGGGAAGGGGAAAGCAGAGATGGGAAAGCTTCATCAGCCCCTGTCTTTTCTCTTTGTGATTAAACATCAGGTTTAAGTATCATCAACAATGTGAATTTTGAAGAATACATGAGAATGCACTTGAGGTTAGAAAAGCTTGTCTTTTATTCAGGTATTTTGAAAAAAAAATCCACTAGACTATTCTTGAAATAAATCACTGAGAGGGTTCGATGAAGGCTGGAGGTGCACACTACATTTTTCATTGCTGTCTCCATGTAGCCCAGGTACATCATCAAGACTAACCTTGGAAAAGCACTTCTCTCTTCTCCCTGCATAGCTCTCCACAGTGGCATCATTAATGTTGATGGCTATAATTGACCACAAAGAGCAGACCTTTAGTCCCTACCTGATCTTTCTGAGTGTTTATACGCTGCTAGCCTGACCACACAGCAGACTAATGAGCATTACGCTTGACAAATATTGTCATGGCTAAACACAACCTAGTGCTGCTACTAAGAGAAGGAGTAAACCTGAGGACACATCATGCTCAAATAGTAGAGCTAAGAATTAATATTAATTCTCTTCCACTCATGAGAGGCCTGATCTGGAGCCCAAGGTCAGTTAAGTCTTTCCACAGCAGGCTTTGGATCTCTCCAGCGAAGTAGCCCTTAAGTTAAGCACTGTACATCCAAATAGTATGGTAATGAATTTGAGAGTAATAAACTGGTTTCTAACTAGGATCAAAACTGTTTTAGTGGCTAGACAAGGTACCCATATTGGGATGATAGAGCAAGGCCACAATCTTCTCTAGATTTAAATGTCCAGAGCCTTGGTATAGGCTGGGTAGCGCTCCACATTTTCTGAGCTAGAGCAAAATGCAGTGAGCAATTCAGAAGAAATGAGAACCTGCAATTCTATTTGTCTCAAAACGTTTATGTAAAACTCCTTGGTGTGACTGCCATATACGATCTGCGCATAGATGGAACAAAACCCCCTCTGTGCCCACACCAGGCTAGTTAGAGAATCTCAGCACCAGTGTTACCGAGTTGCCTACTCGCTGCTGCATGTGTGTATTTTTCTTGTTTATAAACAACATCAAAGTTTTAATAACTTTTTGGGTTCCCTTTCTAGATGCTATAGGTTTAACTTTAAAATAGAGAGCAATTCTTATGAAATGAATGGGATTACAAGTTACATGCTTCTCTAAATATTTCTTGGGTCTGTTTATTTGGTGTCTAGGCCCCACAGTGGGTGGTTTTCTGTCTGTCTGTCTGTCTTAGGGAGGGGTCACAATTTACTATGATTTAATCAAGTTTCTATCTCCTTTGTTCCTGACAGAACCCTTTTGGGTAAGTTTAAATAGGGCTGCTCAATACAGCGTAAAAATATGATGCCAAATCAAGGGGTGGCTGGGTTTCCAGCCTGCTGCTGAGAGCTGGTCCAGTGCCTGGGATTAGCCCTGTCTGGTGGTGCTGCGCTAGGTGTGTCAGCCATCACCAGCACCTGTGTCCCTGGCACTCTGCCGTGGGCTTAGCGAAGAGTGTTTGAACCTGATATGCTTCAAGTGTAGTCCCTTGAATTCACAGAACTAACATTTTTTGCTAAAATTTACTTTTGTTTAGAAAACTTCAGGCTAGCTTTGCTCATAAACTTAGTCAGCTGGGCTTTCCGGGGTCCTCTCATGGGCAGTCATGTCTCTCTGGGGCCATAATGGTGAGTGTATGAGTCTGAGACCATTGTTTCCTGAGCGTGGAATTTTAAGTGTCTGGGATATCTGGGTCTGTACACAATACAGACCTTTTTTTTTTTTTTTTTTTTTTTTTTAAATCATCTTTCCTCTGGGTTTGAAGGGCACCACTTCAGCCTAACCTTCTTGAATAACTCCTGCATGTGGGTTGGCTGTAGGCAGAAGTCATACGCTCCCTTCAACTTTCTGACCTCGGTGCTTTCAGACCCTGTTGCCCAGAGGCACTTCATTTGCGTGCTGCTTTCAGGCAAGGGACTCAGCAGTATTTCCATCTGGGGAAGGCAGTTCTGTGCTGACTTGCTGTTTGCTGGAGACTCATGCTTTAGCAATATGATCTTGTAAGACAAAGCAGTGCTAATCATTCCTGTCACCAGATATTCATCTAGGTTAGCAGAACACAGCCAGCCCCACTGAAGGAAATAGGAGGGAGTGAATGTGCCA